TGTTGTTATTAGAATATAGAACTACTGAGTTATTGTCACAATATAACTTTAGCGGTCTTTCTGCGCCATTCAGGGTGATATTTGTGTAAACACCAACATCAAAAGGATGGTGATAGCTTAGCCCAGATTTCCTAGCCAACCAAGCCACTCGTTTTCCTTCATAGTATTGTAAGGGATTTGATTATTAAAATATTAATTTTTACAGTAATATGATGCAAAAATACGCTTCTTACCTCTATGGTTGTCATATTATGAGCAATGAGGTAAACATGCCAGCAAAAGAAAGTTCCAAGCGTTAGACTTGAATAAGCAACCATTAATCCACAACCATCCTAAAATGCATAGTTTGATCAGATTTTTTCAAAACCAATTGACAGTCTCATTTTAAGAAGAAGCAAATACGTGAAGAAAATTTTATCACGTGCTAGAAGATTTGAAGAATAGTAAGAAAACACACCATACAATACGAGAAAACAAAGATTTATTTTTACATATTTTCATATGATGCACGGTTTAAGGAACTACTTCCAAAGGAATGCAAAAGATAAAAATTAGAGCAATGATACACGTACAGAGAGGGGGAGGGGGAGTTCACTTCCAGACCACTAATAGAAGGGATAGGGGTGTATTTTTTTCTTTTTTTTTTAAACATGTGGGGCCCACCAGTGTGAGTAACTTGTAGGTTTTGCTCTTGTACTTGGAGCAAAACACTAAAAATTATTGGTTAGCTTTAGGCATGAATTTTTCACAATACTACTGAGAAGCACGTGCAAGACACATGTCATGATATAATTGACTACTTAATAGTATAAGTATAAAAAAAATATTTATGTCAAACATTAGCTTTACATAATTTTTTTTATAAGTATGAACAATTAAAAAAAACTCGCTACTAAAAAAAGAACATGCATTTACTATTCATATGATCAGTACAAATTAAAACCAAAGCAAAAACAAACTCACATTTAAAAAAGAAAAAAAATTTAAACATTATCTTTGCGTGCTGCAAGGAGAGAAATCCTCCATG